GTTGCTGTTGCTGCTGCTGCTGTTGCTGTTGCTGCTGCTGCTGTTGCTGTTGCTGCTGCTGCTGTTGCTGCTGCTGTTGTTTTTTTTGTTGCTGCTGTTGTTGCTGCTGTTGTTGCTGTTGCTGCTGCTGCTGTTTTCATTTTCTTTTTTATATATCTGAGTATATAATCTTTGTCTTCTGCGTTCGTTGCTGCTGCTGCTCTTGCTGCTGCTGTTCTTCCTGCTGCTGCTGCTGCTCTTGCTTTTCCTCTTCTTCTTCCCGCTGCTGCTGCCGCTGCTGCTGCCACTGCTGCTGCTGCTGCTGCTGCCGCTGCTGTTGCTGCTGCTGCTGCTGCTGCTGCAGCATACACAGCGTCGCGTGGAGGGTTTAGAGGGAACAGTAGCAGCAGCAGAAGCAGAGACGCACTCTTCTTTAGCTGCCATCAAGTCCCGGCTAGCAGCAGCAGCACAGAGTCTGCTGCAGCAGCAGCAGCGAGCTGATGAGGAGCAGCAGCATGCAGAAAGATATACACAAGAAATGGCCAAAAGGTTATACTCCTGCTGCTCCTGCTGCTGCTGCTGTTGCTGCTGCTGCTGATGCTGCTGTTGCTGCTGTTGGACCTGCTGCTGTTGCTGCTGTAACTGCTGCTGTTCTTGGTGGTGCTGTTGCTGTTGCCTTTGCTGCTGCTGCTGCTGCTGTTGCTGCTGCTGTTGTTGTTCCTGCTGCTCTTGCTGCTGCTGTGGTCGCTGCAGCATGTGCTGCTGTTGCTGTTGCTGCTGCATCCCTTGCCCCTGCTGGTACTGCTGCTGCTACTCTGCTGCTGCTGCTGCTGCTGCTGCTGCTGCTGCAGGCTGCAGCAGCTGCTGCAGACGGAGCAGCGGGCGCTGCGGGACGCTGAGGCGGCTTTGCTGCAGGCCTTCGAGGAGAAGGCATTGGCTCTCAAGTATAAACCCTAAACCCTAAACCCTAAACACTAAACCCTAAACCCTAAACCCTAAACCCTTAAAACAATATCTATTGCCCTCTCCGCAAGCCCAAACGCTGCAACGCGTGACGCACACACAGAGGGGTTTAGGGTTTGGAGTTTAGGGTTTAGGGTTTAGGGTTTAGGGTTTAGGATCTAGGGTTTAGGGTTTAGGGTTTAGGGTTTAGGGTTTTTGGGTGTATATGCAGGACCGATATCCTGCAGGAGAATCAACAGAGACAAAAGCAAGAGGCTAGCATCGTGCAGTACTGCGAGGTTTCTAAACCCTAAACCCTAAACCCTAAACCCTAAACCCTAAACCCTAAACCCTAATTTGGTTGTATACTTAACCCCAAACCCTCGTCTTTACAGCTCAACCTAGAAGTTAATATACACCACAAACCCTAAACCCTAAACCCTAAACCCTAGTGTGTGAGGCAAACCCTAAACCCTCATACCCCAACACGTTGACATACAGGCACAAACCCTAAACCCTAAACCCTAAACCCTCGATCTGCAGACCGCACAGCCGCTCTAAACCCTAAACCCTAAACCCTAAACCCTCGAGGGTTTTTGTGCAGGTAGAAATTCCAAAGCTGCGAGAGGCGCTGCAGGCCGAAGTCCGCGAGCGGGAGGCAATGGAAAGCAGGTCAGTGTTCTAGGGTTTAGGGTTTAGGGTTTAGGGTTTAGGGTTTAGGGCTAAGGGATCGAGCCGATAGAGAACAAGCACTTACTTTGAGGGTTTAGGGTTTAGGGTTTAGGGTTAAGGGTTAGAGGCAATGGATAGCAGCTACCTGCCTAAGGATTTAGGGTTTAGGGTTTAGGGTTTAGGGTTTAGGGTTTAGGGTTTGTATGCAGGATAGTGCGAGAGGTGGCAGAGCAGATGCAGCGGCTGCAGGGTTTAATACAGCAGGAGAAAGAATCCAGGTAAACCCTACAAACCCTAAACCCTAAACCCTAAACCCTAAACCCTAGAAAACCACGACAAAGCTGGGGTGTATCTGCAGCTTAGAAATTTCTATTAAAATGAATCTATCTTTATATACATGTACACATAAGTATATATATATACATATATATA